CCATTGGCCTTCTTGGCAGCCAGGGCACACTGCTGGCTCATGGTTAACCTGTCGTCCACCAGGAGACCCAGGTCCCTCTCCACAGAGCTGCTCTCCAGCAGGTCCACCCCAAGCCTATACTGATGCATCTTCACAAACTTCTCCAACATGGGTCCCTTCCACGGGGTGCAGTCCTTCAGGAACAGGCTGCTCCAGTGTGGGTCCCCCACGCGGTCACAAGCCCTGCCAGCAAACCTGCTCCACTGTGGGCTCCTCTCTCCACAGGTCCACGGGTCCTGGCAGGAGCCTGCTCCAGCACGGGCTCTTCACGGGGTCACAGCCTCCTTCAGACATCCACCTGCTCTAGCGTGGGGTCCAGCACAAGCTGCAGGTGGAGATCTGCTCCACCATGGACCTCCATGGGCTGCAGGGGGACAGCCTGCCTCACCACAATCTTCACTAAGGGCTGCAGGGAAATCTCTGCTCCTGGAGCACCTCCTGCCCCTCCTTCTTCAGTGACCTTGGTGTCTGCAGTGTTATTTCTCTCGTATTTTCTCAATCCTCTCTCCGTTTGCAGTTGCTGAGGGGTTTTTTTTTCACCTTCTAAAACACATTATTGCAGAGACGCAACCACCATCGCTGATGGGCTTGGCCTTGGCCAGCAGCGGGTCCATCTTGGAGCCAGCTGGCATTGACTCTATTGGACATGGGGGAAGCTTCAGACAGCTTCTCACAGCAGCCACCCCTGTAACCCCCCCCACTACCAAAACCTTGCCACACAAACCCAGTACACCTCTGAACATCCAGTGTTATCATATGATCCCTTCTCTCAGTTTGTTTTCCTTCAGTCCAGGTTGGTTAGCAAAACACGTACAGCCCATCTGCTTCTCCTCAGAGCTCAAAGTGTCTGTTGCCCTGTCCACCTCTCCCACCCCAACCAGACACCGAAGCCAAATGCCTGCTGCCAGATTTTGGCTCCCTTAGTGGTTTGATTACTCAGCCCATGGTTTCCTTTCGCACTCACCCTGCACACATGCTCCTGTGGAATTAAACTCGGGCATGCGTAGCTGCTCTGACATCCGCCATACTTGGAGCCAGGGAACACAGTCCTACTTGTCCTGCCATCTTGTATGCTACTTGGAGTTAATAAGTTTCTCTGTATTCCCTGTCACAGGTGCATTGCTCTCCACCAGGTCACAGCTCACTGATCTTTTAGAGACGAAAAACCCTTGTGCCCAAGTTACAAATACACCTTCTTTAATGTTTTGCTGCATCCTTGCTCTTATAGACAAAAAAAGAGTATTTCCAGCCCTCCCCCATCGCCCCCTCATCCCCCAACTGCAGTATTAGTTACAGCCTCTCCATCTATCTACTTCTGTCAGAGGTATGCCCACAGGCTCCAGTTAACACCGTGGCCTCACCAAACCATGAGGTACAAAAGCAAGCATAGACGGCCAAAAGCACTTTACCATTCTATCAAAGCAACGTGCCTGGCCAGAGATGAGAGAGACGGAAGAGCAGCTAATGTCTGCATAGTAGCTAATGTTAGCAATAAATTCACTTTCCTAGAGACATTCATCTATCTGTCTGTGTAATATTATATAAAACCAAAGTCTCTCCTAGAGTGTTTCCAAGATACTTGGCATTATCCTGCTGTCATAACTAGGGCTCCAATCTCAAGCTCTTCATATACTGGGTTGAAAGCATGGAGAGTCGCAGCTGCAGCCTGAAGAACTTCAAGTTGAGTGGAGCAGCTGTATCTTCCCTCCTCTTTCTTCCCCAAACACTCAGTTTTCAAAGGGATTTGCCCAAAGTGCTCTCTCTCATCTGGCAGCTAGGAAGGCATTCCACTAACCTCAGCCGAAGATTTGACTCCAAGTGTGGAAAGACTTCTCCAAATGAGGGGACTCGAGAGAAGGAACATTATCACCTTGAAAGAAGGCAAGAGACAGAGCTGGAAAGATGACCTGGTCAGAAAGGGAGCAATCTTTCCTTCATACGTAGTCCAGGGACTGACATGGCATTAAGTCAGCAGTAAGGAACAAACCCTTATTTTACACTGCACTAGCAGCGGGTGGCAGGATTAGTGGTCAGTTTAACGACCTACGACCCCAGAAATCACAACGTGGCCCACGTGGCTGCTGTACCTTTACTCTCCCAGTAAAACCGTGCTGCTCTTCCACAGCCTGCCAACTCTTTCGTGTGTAAAGTTGGCATGGGAATATAAAGCGACCTTTTTTTATGAGATGGGGCTGCAGAGGGAAGAAGAAGGGAGAACAAAGAAGCTTCCTCCAAAGCTATTCTTCATAATAACTCCAACAGAATAAAAATAAATAAATAAAACCATAAGGCAAAACAGAAATGCAGTTGATGGAGAAAACATAGCCTGTGGGTCGGTGCTCCAGCTACCTCAGTTCCTTTCTCTGTAACATGACTCAAAAACAGCAACACTGTAGAGTATATTAAAAAATAATAACAATAAATTAACACTGCAGCCAACCTAGCTCTGGAGTGTCCAACTTGGCAATTTTTAAAGCTCATCTACTTCGGTCAAAAAAACACCCCTAACCCATACTCTAATTCAAATATATATATATGCTTAATCACGGCATCTTACCATACAAAGTGCAAGCTAACCACACTGCCATGCTAGCATCAGTGTGGATGGCAAAGATAACAGCCTTCAACCGTTATTAACATTATTTAGAAACCACTTCCCCGCATCAAATTTCCAGCTAATCCTCTGTGTCTTTTCTTACACATTTCCTTCCCCTCTCCACACAAGTTACCAAATTCAGAACAGTAGCTGAACTGCCAAGAGAAATGGAGGATTTTAAATTGAAATCAAAGAGCAGAATCTCAATCAGTCAAATTCTTCTGCCCTTAACAGCATGTTGTATGGACAGCTGCGGAGGAAGAAGTGCTTAGCCTGGTGAAAAGGAAGACGAGAACTTAATGTTTGTCTGCATTCCTTCATCTCAAATTGTGGCTTTTGGGGGCAGCGGCTATTTGCTTAAGATGCTAAACTCCTTGTTTTGAACTGCCTCTGCAGTTTCAAGTAAGAGCATGATCTCTACAAAAAGCAGCTGCAAATAAGGCAGTATCAATCCAGCCGCCTCACAAGATGAGAGGATGAAAGAAGAAAAAGGAGGAGCACCGTTCAAGGGAGCACTCACACACATACACACTCCAAATCTCCTTTGGAGTAGCAGCACATGCCAACGATCGAGTGAAAAACCCTCCCACTGGATGGGGGGGACCCAGCAGTGCAAAGCTGGAGGACATCCTTAGTGAGACTTGCTCATGCTTTACACTACAGTAAAGTGGGTTTTGCGTACAACAGTGTAGTCAGAAGCTGTGTAGAAGCAGTCCACCCTTTTTGGGACCTCAGTGACAAACAAGGCACCGGTTGATTAAGTCACAGGGAACAACTTTGCTTCAAAAAAACTGACCTGAGACTGAACGCACAGCGAGGACCAAGACCCCTCACTACCTGACGCAGCTGCTCACCCAAGAAAGCTTCATCACAAACCCAAACAGCGTGAAACCCTTGTCCAAGGGCTGTGCGGCGATGCAAAGGAGGGCATTTAATTG